ACCACCACCATGAAAGGTTGCTTTCTGCCATGTGCCGCTCTGCCTTGGAGCCAGCTGAGTATGGACGGAAACCTCCAGTTACTGTGAGCTAAATAAACCTTCCCTTCCTTCGTTTTGAGTGTCAGGTATTTGTCCCAACAACGAATAAAAAGTAACTAAGACAGATACATTGGATAAAATTTTTTTAAAAAGTTTAAAATAAAAGCTGAACAGCTCCATGTGGTGACCCACATCTACAATCCCATCACTGGAGGAGGATCACAAGTTCATACCCAGCCCAGGCAATTTAGTGACTTAGCAAGGATCTGCTTCAAAATAAGATATTTAAGGAGTTCCTAGGTTCAAGCCCAGTACTGGAAAGAAATAATGTTTAAATGCTAGCACCCAGGTGCAGAAGGAATATTCACCAATATTCTCTACTCTGCATTATGCATGCCACCAGCAATGTGCAAGGGTTCCAATTTCTCCATATCCTCACTAAGACTTATTTTTGCCTTTTTAGTAGAGCCATGCTAGGCTGGGTGTGGTGACATACACCTATAATCCCAGCACTCAGGAGGCTGAGGCAGGAGTATCACCAGGAGTTTGAGGCTATCCTGGGCTACATAATGAGTGCAAGGCTAGTTTAAGCTACAAAGCAAAACCCCATCTAAAAAAAAAAAAAAAAAAAAAAAAAAAATTCCCTTGTGTGAGGTGGTATCTTGGCATTCTCTTCAGAGGTCACTTAATTTTCCCTGTGAAGTAAGGCATTTAAGAGAAAGAACAATAAAATGTGGAGTGCAACAACTTGAGGAAAACAAAAACAAAAAAATAACAGGTAGAGAAATCTAAAGCAGCAACCAAGGAGAAAGGAGAAGAGCACTGGTCAGGGAAATCCAGCAGGAAGATAAAGCAGCACTCAGAACAAGTTGAAGACTATAGGCTTGAAGTACCCTGTGGTTTCCAGCAAATTTTTTTTTTTTTTTTTTTTTTTTTTTGCAGAACCAGGGATTGAACTCAGGCCCTTGCACTTGCCAGGGAAGCGCTTATTCCACTAATCCATCTCCCTGGCCCCCAGCAAGATTTTTTTCTCTAGGAAATTGATGTAAGCATAACTAGAATATAAAGTCACTCAGAGGATTTTCTCATTTAAAGACAGTGATTGAAGTCTTCCTGAAAAAAAACCACCACTTTGTTTGCTTAAAGTTCCATGACATCCACCTTACACATGACAGTTGGCTTGTGATTCAATCTCCTTGCACTTTGAAGGTGGAGCGTCTCACATACATATGTTCAGTGCAGATCTACTACCTTTACTGGATGGGTTTATAATGGTTAATGCACTGCTAACTTCATCAAATGAGAAAAGGCAAGAGAAACATCACACATCCATCATATCCATAACGGTTAGTCCTTTAAAACACTTCAGGTAATCACATCATAAAATGTTCACTACAAACTGATCATCACATACACAAGCAGTAACAAAGCCACACACACAAAAAAGGATATTCTGATTTAATCCATTACCTTGCAGGGCATGAGATATACTACAATTTTCAGTTTAATTCAACAAATAAATTCCTATGTGATATGAAGTATAGATTTAATTAATTTAAAGATGTACCACTAAGTCACACTTACTGCGTAAGATGCCCACAATTTTGTATCAAGGTTCACATCTTGGGAATAGCACCTGCCTGGCAAGTGCAAGGTCCCAAGTTCAATCCCTAGTACCACAAAAAAAAAAAAAAAAAAAAAAAAAACACCAAGTAACTTACATTCTAATACTTAGTGGTATAACACAAAACAGTGTTTTATCTTTTTTTTTTTTTTTTTTAGAACCAGGGATTGAACTCAGACCCTTGCACTTGCCAGGGAAGCACTTATTCTACTGAGCCATCTCCCCGGCCCCAGTTTTATTTATCTTGTATCTGTATCTTGAGCATATTCAGCTGGGGTTGCTCATGAGGTCGCAGTCTGATTACAGAGCCTCAGGTACATGGGACATTCCCAGTGGTCTCTCCTCCTCCATCTAGCATGATCCAGTCCTCTATACCCAGAATGATCTACACAGTGGCTTCCAAGAGAGTGGGAGCTAAAGCTGCCATGCTGCTTAGGCACTAAGCCTAGAACTGCACAGTATCGTATCTACCACCTTTTCCACTGATTAAAACAAGTTACCAGGCCAGCCTAGATCAAACAAAGTAGAAACAGATTCACTCTTGATGGAAAGAACTAGTAGTCAAGCAAAGGACAGGAAGATACCAGCAAAGGATAGGAAGAGAGTTGCTGGTGGTCATCTTTGGAAACCATCCATCACATCTGTAACCACCACCACTGGATGTCTTCACTATATCAATTTAGGACTGAACCATCTGAGAAGGGATAACCTTTATCTACTTCCTAAACTAACTTCTTAAGCATTAGAAAGACTATCCCAGCAAAGAGCTGACCATGTGAACTAATACTTTTTTTTAAAAAAAATCTTCCTTTCTAGGGCTGTAGGAAGGATAAACATAACACTTCAGGAAAGGTCTGAGAATAGGCTTCCATGGACTAGATCACTTCCTGACGTCATTTCACCCCTTACACACAATTTGCTATTATGTATGCATGAGTATGATATTTTGAAAGTGTATTTAATACTCAAATACATAGAAGTATCCCTAGTTATTTAAACTCCTGCTATTCAAATTGCCTAAACTGAAGAATCAGTAGATTTGGATAACTCCATTAGCCTTTTTTTTGTTGTTGCTGTTTTTGTTTTTTTGAGACAGGGTTCCACTTTGTAGTTCACACTGGCCTTGAACTCAAGAAATGCTCGTGCCTTAACTTCTCAAGTGCTGGGATTATACCACAACAGTCCACTACTTCATTCTTGAATTTAGGGCCAGTATCAAGAGTTTTGTTAGGGGGCCGAGGAGACAGCTCAGTAGACTAAGCGCTTGCCTGGCAAGTGTAGGGTCCTGAGTTCAGGAAAAGGAAAAAAAAAAAAAAAAAGTTTTGTTAGCCAAACATGGTGGCATATACATGTTAATCCCAGCACTCAGGAGGTTGAAGCAGGAGGATTTCTCCAGTTCAAGGCTAGCTTGGACTACACAGTCTAAGGTCAGCCTGAATTAAAAAGCAAGACCCTGTCCCAAAAGAAGAAAAGACAAGAAAGGACTGAATTTGCATAAGACAGTGTTCCTTAAAATATGAATTCTTACTAAAGTCTGGAATCCAATAAATTTGTATAGAAAAAATATTAACTGTTATCTTTGGACAGTACAAGTATGGAGCATATACATTCTTCTTTAAACCTATTTGTATTTTCTCCCATCATTGCTAATTTTTCAGAAGGTAAGTCTTGTGTACTTAGAAACACTTTTTAAATTTTCGTCTATCTTGTGGGTCAAATACAGAGTTGATGGGAAGTATTCCTTTCTAGGAAGTTATGTTTAAATTCAGCCAACACTCATCACTTCCCTCCTGTGCATTCAATACATACAAAATATGAAAATTTTATCAGACTTTCTTAAACTGTGCAACCCACTCTCTCCCCCCCCCCCCACAAAAAAAAAGCATCTTAATGATTTGCTGGACTCTGGATTCCTGTAGAGCCTAAACCTCACTTCTTATGCATGACTGTTTCTACTACACACAGAAGTATAATGAAAATAACAAGGGTCATTCATAGCCCTTTGATCATCCTCTCCACAATGACTCTCAGGTAAAAGAAGACTGTCTCAGACTCCCTAGCTCCTGACTATTAAGATGGGGTCAAGCTCCTCTTGGAATATATTGGTGATTTTTAATTTAAAATATTAGATAAACTTTTTTTTTTTTTTTAAGCTACAAGGCTAGGGAGATAGCTCAGTGGCAAAAGTGCCTTCCTGGCACGAACAAGGTCCTGAGTTCAATCCCTGGTGCAAAAGAAAAAGCAAACAAACAAAAAAAAAACGTTCTGCAGAAGCAATCTCTTTAAAGATGATACGCTTTTTCTTCAAGAGAAACAGACAAGAATGAACAGACTGAAATTGAACAGACTGAAATTCACACAATGGATTAAAAGCTATCTGACACAGGAAATACTACATTAATAAAATTTAAACATACAAACTCAACACTAAAGCAGCACAAAAGGGTGACATTTGCCCAGGGATTACTTCTAAAGGATTCGCTATAAAGTTTGAAGGCGGCTATAAATTCCCTTCTGGGTTCAACCATTCTTCCATGCCTCCCGGCACTACATACTTAGAGGATTTAATATTATTAGCCCACAGTACACACCCGTTTCAGAAACTCAGCTTTTGCCCTGTAAGGCTTTAAGTTAAATGAGACCATTAGACTTTTTTTTAAAAAAAGCATGATATAAAATTGTAATCCTAGCTGCAAAAGTTCTGCAGCAGATGGCTTTATATTGGGTCGCCTGCACACACACAAACAAAAAGCCATTATCAGTACAAGAAAGCATGCCTCAACATTCATTTTAAATAAAGCTGGTAGGATTGGGGAGGCTTTTTAAAAATCAGAAGTAAGAAGAAAGAAAAATCCCGATCGCTCCGTTCACCGCGCTCCTGGGCACATGTTCCCCGTATGAGAGGCGCCCCTCTGTGGACTGCCGGTTGCGCGCAAAGGGAAAGCGACGGAACAAGGCTCGGTGACACTACTGCCCTCAGGGATGCTTAGATCCGGGGAAGGGCCAAGTGAGGATGGAGGAAGGAGGTCTCTCAGCAAATCGGCGCTTAAGGCGGTGACACACCACGAGTGAACAGAACCGCGCTGGTGCAGCACGAAACAGAAAGCGAGCGGAGAGAACTTTCCCTGCCGCCCCCAACCTTGCCAACTCCCTGTCGGAGGAAACGCGTGCAGAGGGCCAGCGCGCCCGCTCCGACGCAGCGCCCGGAGGGCCCGGGAGCCGGGGAAGGGCGGCGGGTGGTGTACGTGGGCACCCCGGCGGCCCAGCCCACCGGGAGGGAGGCGAGTCAGGCCGGGTAGAGCGCGCCCGGCGAGCCCGACCCCGCGCCCACCGCTACCTGCAAGGCCAGCGCCGCCCCGCCGTCCGGGCCCAGGCTCCGCGCGCCACGGGGTCTCACAGCTGCGCCGGCCGCAGACGCCAGAGCGGGCGAAGAGCGGCGCCGACGCGCGGCTCAGGGGCGGGGCGCGGGCTCCGGGCCCGCCGGTCACGTGTTCCGGGTCGCCTCACGTGACCTGGGACCGCGACGCCCCAGGCCTGGCTGGCGGCCGCAGCTCCAGCTCCTCCGGCTCTTGCCGAGCTCGCAGAACTGGCACTTTGCTAGGCCAGCCCCGAGGCCCTGAGGAGTCGTGGTGGAGTATAGCGGCTCCTGCCGGAAGTCATGCTTTTGTTCCTGGGGGGGAGCCAGCGCCGCGCGCCGCTCCTGCGCGCCTCCTGCTGGCGGGGGCGGGGCGGGGGTGACTCTTGCCCCGAGGGACCTAGGACGCGAAAGTGCGCTGCACCTGCGGACGAAGGCTGCAGAGGAGAAGCGTTGGTGTTACCTGGTTTCCCGCGCACACCTACCCCATCCGCCCAGGATCCAAAGCACCTGCAAGGTGCACCAGGGAAAGAGAGGGTGGCACCAGGGCCAAGAAAAGAAAGTTGCGAGCCATGGCGTGCAAGTAATGAAAGGCAGAGATGCCTCAGAAAAATAGGCTGTCAAGACTGGAAGGAACTAGGAAGGCATCTGACCCAATCCTTTTCTTAGAAGTGGCTCGACTGAGGGCCCAAGGTACCATGGTTAGAAACAGGAAAATTGAGAGCCACACCTTTCCCTTTATCTGCAAATACAACACCATCCTAATGATTATCCCTATTTAAACTTATGAAGGCCTAATGCCCAAGGCAACAGATCATTGATACCAGTGGAATAGCAGGCACTGGAACTGAGGTGTCTGACCACAATGGAAGGCGCCTGAAGTTGGAGGTGGCTAACTGTTTAAATACTAGAAGCTTGAGTTATTTAGAGTTCCTTTTCTGCCTTTTTCCTTTTGCCCTTCTGCCTGTACCTGCTTCTACCATCCTGTAATCTTCAATAGCATTCACTACTTACTACCAGGTATAAGCTTGGCAGTTCTTTCCTTGACTGGCACAAGAATCTAGACAATTTTCTGCCTCATTTGGCAGTAACAAAGGAGCTACTTCTTTCTGTGCAAGCCTATCACCTGTAAAGGCCACAATATACTGTAAAATCTATGTGGTTTTCAGAATACTCAGCTAGCTCCACAGGATGAAATAGGAACTTCTTGACAGTGTTCCAAGCAATTTCCCATTTCAGCACTCATGAAATATGCCATATATATATATATATATATATTAGGAATCGGACTCAGGACGTGGTGCTTGCCAGGCAGGCACATATGCCACTGAGCTATCTCCCCAGCCTGCATGAATAAGTGTTTTAAACATTGTTTCCGAAGTACAACCAAATAGCTCTGGTGGGATACTAAAACAATAACTTTTCACATCTGCTTCTTTCTCAAGACCAATGTAAACTGGCTACAGAGAATTCCTATTTGCCTTGACTACACAGCTTTCCTTAAATTGCTTTTTTCCCTAGCCTAATTCTTTGTTCTTTTACCTCTGTGTGAAATAATCCTGAATTAGTGCTATCTCCCTCCCTGCAGGAAAAAATAAATAAAAGCCAGACAGTAAAGAAATAAAATCAAATCTTATGTAGAAACTGTTTCAAGCTAGGAATTGAGCCCAGTTCTATATTCTCTTTTTCCTCAATTGGCAGTAGTCATGAATGTGTTTTTAATCTCTATACTGTCTGGCTCTGGCTTTAGCATGCTCAAAAGTACCCATCAGTCTCCTACTCATCTTTCAAAATCTAGGTCAAACACCACCTACTTTTATCTTCTGTCTTTGCATCCTACTCCATGATTGATTTGATAGTTTCAGCAATTGGAGTTCATTCAGAGAGCCTCACCTGCAACTTATTCCTTGATTTCATAACACTGTATATGTTCTGGTAGAGAAATTTCATCTTACCCAGAAATATACTAAACATTTCCTGTGAGAGGTGGATTATGTGTTGCCATCTTCTCTCCTAGATTATGAACTCTTTGAAACAAATCTTTCTGGACTTAGTCCAGAACCTGGGATGTTGTGTATCACTCAATACCCATGAAGGAAGTAGCTTTGGGGGAAGGGGAAGGGGGAGGGATAGGTCAGGAAAAGACAGGGTGTAGACTTCCGTTGAGCTTTGTTAGAAGTTACTAGCAGGTGTGGTGCCACAAGCCTGTACACTGACACTTGGGAGGCTGAGGCAGGAGGATCATTGCAAGTTCAAGACCATCCTGAGGCTACAAAGTGAGCTCAAGGCTAGCCTGAACTACATATTGAGACCCTGTCTCAAAGTTAACTGGAACCAGGAGTGTTAACACATGCCTGTAACCCCAGAAGTTGGGAGGCTGTGGCAGGAGCATGGAGGCATACTCCAGGCCAGCCTAAAATTAATGGAGAAATTTACTAAGGGCTATGGCCTCTACCTCTGCAGAATTAGGCTCAGCAGTTAGAAAGACTGGCAAACAGGAAAACAAAGGCAAAGAAACTAAATTCAAGGAGGTCCTAAATAACTTGATCAATATAAGCCCCTTTACTTAACCTACATTTCTTGTCCTCCAACTTCCCTGCTAACCCTGGCTTCCAACAAACAACAGCAAAGGTCATACCACTGGAAGAAATCCAATGGGAAGACCAAAGACAGCCATGGAGTGAGTCAGATTCCAAAAGTCTAAAGGGACAAAGATCTCCATAAAAAAAGAGCCACAGATAAGAACATATCAGTATTTCACTTTTGAAGGATTCCCTACACATCCAGAGCTATCTATGATCTCTCTCTTCACCCTTTTTCAGCACCCTCAAATTATCTTCTCTTGGTTTAAATTAGGCTTCTTTAATTTTTTACTGAGGTTTTGTTTACAATCTGCAAGAGCTTTGTTTTCCAACAGAATGGTGCATGGGATTGCCAGACATTACAGCTTTACCAAGATAGTACCATTGCAGTGAACTTACTAATTTATTTAACTACTTATTTTCTTTAAAGAAATTCTTGGCTGCAATCTGATCAAAAGAAAAATGTAGATTTCGACCCAGAGCCCAGGGCCCACGGGTTACTCACTGGACACAGGCCAGGCATGTGAGTAGGCCCACCTAGGGCCTACCAGATCCTCATTCCACCCAGAGTCCAGGATCGGTGGTGTGTGAGTCAGACTGCTGGGGCCCACCGGATCCTCACTGGGGCTAGCACCCAGGTCCATGTGTGAGTAGAACTTCCTCCATCAAACAGGCCTGGTGTGGAACCCTGTGGCAGGACTCCCTGCAGAGAGGCTAGAGGCAACACCCACCCAGCTGATCCAGGAACAGAACATCTTGTCAGTATGTCACAGAGGGTTCACCTCCAAGGGCTGCAGCTGGAAGAAGTGGAGCACAGCAGCCAGACCCAAGCCACACCCACCTGGACGAATTTGAACTTGGTAGATCTGGATCTGGTGCTAAGGCAATAACTGTATATAAGCTATGCACCAAAGGTTAGAAGACAATGCTATACAAAATGACAAGCAGAAGGAGCAAAATGCATTCTCAGGCCCTTAGCCCACCCAGAACAAATGCAAGAGACAATAGCATAGGAGAAATTGGAAATCACACACCTGAAATCTCTGAAATAATAGTGTCTGAAGTAAAGAAACAACTGCAGAAAGATGTAGAGGAAATCAGATCAGAAATAATTTCTGAAGTAAAAAAAGAAATAACTATAACGAAAGAAGTACTAAGTGCTTCTAAAGAAGACACTGATTTTAAAAAAGGCAAGAATATAAAAATGATGGAATTCTTGAGTGAGCAATATAGGAAAGAAATAGAATGCATGAAGTAGATTCAAAGTGCTATACAGGAAATTAGAGCCTCAATCATAAGCTGGAAAAAGCATTTGAATGAAAGTGAAAATAGACTTTCAGACCTTAAAGACACCATTGCAGCTAGTGAAAAGGTAAGAAAAGATCTCTTAAATACACCTAGGATGCACGAAAAAATAATTCAACATCTGCAAGATGATGCAAAGATGAAGAACGTAAGACTAATAGGCATTGGGCCAGGGAGATAGCTTGGTAGAATAAGTGCTTGCCTGGAAAGTGCAAGGTCCTGAGTTCAATCCCCAGTACCAGGAAAAAAAAAAAAAGACTAATAGGCATCAATGAGAAAGAAGGAGTCAATACAGATGGTATAAAAAGAATATGGACAGAAGTAATAGGAGAAAACTTCCCAAATATGGGAAAGCAATTGACATTAATGTAACCAAAGCATATAGAACTCCAAATAACATCAACCCAGTTAAAAACACACCCAGACGTAGTGATCAAGATCCCAGTAATTCAGCACAGGAACAGTGTACTAAAAGCCAATAGAGAAAAGAAACATCACATTGAAAGGAAAACCCATCAGAAAAATGGTACTCTTCACAAACCATCAAGTCAAGAACAGCATGGAGCAAAGTACTACAAGTCTTACAAGAAAATAAAGTCAAACCCAGACTGGTATACCCTGCGAAACTCTCTTTCAAGTATAATGGAGAAGTGAAATACTTCCATGACAAGGAACAACTAAAGAATTTCATGACAACAAAACCAAATCTACGCAGACTACTAAAAGATATTCTAGAGAGGGATTAAAATGACCACAACTCCCTGAATGAGAACGGAAAGAACCCACCAAATAGGGCAAACAAACACAGGAGAATAAGAGGTATACAGCAGCAATCTTTTAGTTATTCTTTTGTATACAGCCACAAAATATTTCCATCAGCATACTCTGCAAATGGACTTCTCCTGCACCCTGTGGGTCATGATTCTATCCAGGTCTATAGGGTGGATATCAAAGAAATGGCAGTAGCTCAGGCTCACAAGTGACACCTGGCCACAGTAAGCATCATGGACACTGTTCATGTCCACAACATACTAGAACTTTGTTGATATTCTCTTCCCAGCCTGTTAGAAGTGCTGGTCATATATTTGCCATTCCAGTATTTATGTTTTATTCTTAGTAATTCTTTACTATCATGAAAACTTTTTCTTCATTGAATTGTTTTGAAATATTTAATTTTTAATTAATATTTAATTTTCTGAATATTGTTTAATCTTAATTTTTGTTTTAAGATTTATACTGTATCT